CCAACCCTTCCCATACATTGACAAATAAGTAAATATAGGAAAGATAAAGGGCACCAGACTTCTCACTAAAGAAATAAATATGGAGAAGAGGGAAAAAATAGAGCAAACTCCTTTATAGTCAGATTCTAATTAAAATACATTAATTCATGTATATTCCATACATTATGCACCCTATAGTTAACATAAAGCTGAGGAGGAGGAAGCTGGAGTGATATGATAGTACACCAAGTAGGGAGCTTTGCCTTTCAGGCAACCAACCCGAGTTCAAATCCTGATATCCCATATGGTGGTCCCCTGAGTAACACCAGGAGTAATTTCTGAGTGCAGAGCCAGAGGTAAGCCCGAGCACCATCAGTTGTGGCTGAATCCTCCACTCCCCTCCCCCTAAAAAGCTGAGAAGGATAGATAACAAGATGAGCCAAACAAACTCAACAGGCCAGAACTAAGAGTGGAATCTAACAAGAAGACATTTAACAAGGATGAACCTAAGACTCACTCTTAAATCTAGAAAAGGTAATTGATGGCAATTCAAACAGAAAAAACACAGGGTTTTGTTTTGTTTTTCTATTCTTTTCCTACCCATATACCCAAAGGCAGTGCCGGGGGCTACTTTGGTTCTGTGCTCAGGGGACCCTGCAGTAAGTACTAGAGATCTAACCTGGGCTTCAGCCCACTCAACTCTCTGACCCAGAAAATAGTTTTCAACTGAATGAGATCAAAGCTTAGGTCAAAGAATAGGAAGTTATAAGGGAACAGAAAGGTTTTGCTTCATAAATAGAACTTTCCAAAATCCTGCTTAAGGAGACCCCTCCCATAATCTAAGAGATTTCCTGCTTTCCCACCCTGTCCCCGCATTTTATTCTCCTACAAAAAGGTTTTCCTTTCAGTCCAACAGAATTTTTAATAAATTTTAAGAACATAACAGGCTATATCAGGAAGTAAATACCTACTGGAGTACTTTAAGTTAACTGATTACCTGAATGGTAAAGAAAGAGTAGTGAAACCTAGTGGAGCGATAGCACAGCGGGTAGGGCGTTCGCCTTACAAGTGGCCGACCCGAGTTCGATTCCTCCGCCCCTCTCGAGAGCCCGGCAAGCTACCGAGAGTATTCATATGCCAGACACAGTAACAACAAAGTCTCCAATGGAGACGTTACTGGGCCCGCTCGAGCAAACCTAGTGGAGAGTTTAGTAAAATAAGAGAATCCAAGTAGTGCCAAGATTTACACGAGAATAAATACAATTAAAATTTTGAAGGCGAAAATAATTTCAAGTGACTTAAAATTACTGAAAGAGCTGCTGAATGAATGGGAAGTTCAAATCAGATGCTTTTTAGCCTCCCCACCCCACCCCATCACCTTTCTTACTTTACTTCAAAGACTTTTCTGTGCCATACCAGGTTATGCTCAGGGATCACCCCAGGTGGTCCTTAGGAGACCATATATGGTGCTGGGGACTGCCAAGGGTTAGTCAAGTACAAGGCAAGTGCTTTAGCCCTCTATTATCTCTGACTCTAGTCCAAAGACTTTTTTTGTTTGTTTGTTTTTAGGCCACATCAGCAATGCTCAGGGGATACTCCTGGTTCTCCTCTCAGGAATTAATTATTCCTGGCGGTGCTAGGGGACCATATGGGATGCCAGGGATCCTGAACCTGGGTAAGCCACATACACGGCAAGTGCCCTACCACCGTACTCTCTCTCCAGCCCCCAAAGAATTTTAAGAGACAATGACAATAATACTTTCTCACTTTCATAACTTAAAAAGCAGTTCAAGGACCAGAAATGTGATTTAAGTGTTCAAGTCCATATTTTGCACCTGTGTAGCTCTGGTTTGATCTATATGGCTCCTCATGGCCCTGATGGTTCTAAGCAGCATCTCAGTGTAATGATCTCAGATCTCTTAGCATTGCTGGGTGTGGACCCCAAAACAATAAACAGTCGGCAGTAGAGATCACTGGAAGAGTGGATGGGGTCCTGGGTTTGATCTCTGGCCTCCCACCCCCCAAACCAAACCAAAACCTGTTATTAATGGAAGTTACACGTGCTCCTTAGAAATAAAAGTCAAACTTTTTAAATGAGCATAAGATGAAAAGTGGGGCTGGAGAGATAGTATAGTGGATAAGGCACTTTTCTTGCTTGTGGCTGGTCTGGATTTGATCCAAGCGCCCAATATGGTCATCTGAGCCCGATCTCCAACCCTGGAGTAATCCCTGAGCACAGAGTCAGAAGTAAGCCTTAAGGACTGCTGGGTGCATCCCCCTCACCCCCAAAAAAAGGCTTTTCTGCTTTCCCCGAAACTTTCCTAGACTCCGCTAGACTATAAAGACCCACCTTCTCTGACTCCTTAGGGAACTAACATCTATATAACATGACAGCTTTTATTATACACCGTATGCTTTTTGTAAGTGAACCTGGAAGTTCTTAGGGTAAGACTTTTCTTCTGTGCACTTCATGTACCAAATAGAGACAAACTGTAGAAATAGAACCCCTGATTGCCTTCCCGATAGCCCTGACACTTTAGGAGCGAAGCCTGTCACTTCATATTTATTGCAGACATCAGCTGAAACTTCCAATCCAATCTTGTCTCCTCTGACCTACCTACCTAAGCTCATCACTGGCTTATAGTTCATTAAAATGGGCTGGCAAAAGAATGAGATTTGAATCTATCAGAATTTCACAATTTCCTAGCCATGGTTCATGGTTGTTTATGTAACCCAATCTAGATTCTTAAGGTTTCATCATATATATATATATTTATACACACATATACACACACGTATACAGATATATATAAAAGACACACACACACACACACACGCACGGTTTTGGGTCACACTCAGCAATGCTCAGCACTTATTCCTGGTTCTGTGTGTGTCAGGAATCCCTCCTGGTAAACTCACAGGAACATATGTGACGCCAGGGATCAAACCCACATAGGCTGCAAGACAAGCACCGAACCTGCTGTACTATCTCCCTGGCTCAGATGGCATCACCTTTCAGTTGAGAGTATAATGACCTTAGCTGATGGTGGCCGCGATGTTCAGTAACTCTGTATATCAATACTATAAATGTAAACACTACTGTAACCATATTACCTAAGCTAAAAATGACCTTATAAAAAGCCAAGGTGTGAACCTCGCTAATAATAGACCAAATATCCAAAAGAACAATCTTAAGAGTTAGTGTCAGGTCTTTATGAGAACTGAGGCCACTAAGGGGGTGGGCAAGCGGTGGGCAGAGAATGGAGGTATACTGGCACTCTGATGATTAGCATAGGGCAGGAGCATAAAAAATGAAATAGTATTAATACTGTTGCAAAACCATGATACTCAATAAAAAAAAGTTGATCAAACAAACCTGGGCCAGAGTGATAGTACAGCAGGTAGGGTGCTTGCCTTGCATGCAGTCCATCACCCAGGTTCAATCCCGGGGATCCCATATGCCCCATCAAAAGTGATCCTGAGTGCAGAACCAGGAGTAACCCCCTGAGCATCGCTAGGTGTGCACCCCCTATCCCCCCAAAAAAATAAACCCTTAGAGCTCTTGGGGACTGTAGAGGTAGTACAGTTGGTATGGCGCTTGTCTTGCAAGGGGCTCACCTGAGTTAAATCCTTGGCACCCCAGGTGGTCTCCAAGTGGCCTCTCAAGCCCACCAGGAGTGATCCCTGAGCACAGAGCCAGGTACAAGCCCTGAGCATCAGCAGATATACCCCCAAACCAAATAAAAACAAGTAACAGTAAGAACAAAACAACAGCACAACTAAAACAAAAACCCTTAGCTCCTAAACTAAATTCTTGGGTTAGGGGGTCAACTTAAAGGAAGAGGACCAGCTTCTGTCCTAGAAAGTTCCGGAGGTCCGAGACATCACAGAAGACAGCCACAGGTGCAGCCCCCAAACGAAAGTAAAAAAACTAAATTATTTTCTGACTCAAAACAATGATGTCACTGGAAGCTCTTTCTCCAAATCCTTACATTTCTTTTTTGTTAGTTTTTGGGGCCACACGGAATGCACCTCACGCTAGACTATTGCCTTTCTCCTACAGTACCTGCATTTTTCAATCTAGGTTCAAATGCACAGCTGGGGCAGAGCATCGGCTTCCCAAGGCGAGTTCCATCCCAGCGAGCACCTGCTGCAGCCAGCTCCCGGACTCGCAGAATGATTAAAAAAAAAAAAAGTGTCCCCACCCCCCAAATAAGGACAAAAATGAACGATGTTATCTCTTCAGAGACACCTTTTCAAGTCAGTTTTAGTATTTGTTGTTATTGCTGTTCCGTTTTAAGAAGTTCTGACTGCTTTCAAAAAACTCCCTGGCCTATCACTTAATTTTGATTCTTTCCATCGCTAGAGAATATAAGCTTCCTGAAAATACCCCTCCCACCACCACCCCTGCCCCGAACCCCCTTTTTGTAGACGCGCATATTCTGGCTCCGAGCGGCAGAAAAATGAATGAATACAGTTTATTGGTGGAAGTGAGCTGCATGAGGAGAGGGGAGCTTGGGCGAGAAGCCAGCATCGCAGTCGGGCTGGGCTGTTCCCGGGAAGGGGCTGTTTTGAAAAAGCAGCCGAGAAGGAGGCGGCTGAGGGAGGTCGGGTCAGGGTTTCCGGAGGCGTGACGGGGGGGGGGGGGAGGGAGAGGGTTGACTTCGGGGTTCCAGGCTGTCCAGCGGGGCGTGAGACTGGGCGTGTGTACGAACATAAAAGCTTTCAATGACCAACTCCCGGAAGCCCCTCTCGCAGGAGCCAAACGCGCAGCTCTCTTCTGCACCTGCCCCTTCCCGGCGCATCCCACCCCGCAGTCCATCCCGCGCACTCCAAACTTCAGGCCCGGGCCCAGAGCCCCCCCACCCCTAAAGAGGAGTGAGTCGTCCAACGGCAACCCTCTGCCGGTCCCCACCGGGGCTGCGACTCAGCTTCGCGGGGCCGCGCTTGCTCTCCAGCAGCTGACGCGCTTCTCCCCGCCCCCCAGCCCGCCCCGCGGCCCGACTCGGGCCCGCACTTACGCTTGTCTCCGGGCTATGAGCCGATGCATGGGAGTCGCCATCTTAGCGCGTCCAGAGCCGGCCGCGCGGACTTATGGGAAACTCCGCGGAGGGGGCGGGGACTCGAACCCGCGCTGCCGCAGGCGTGGGCGGAGCCAGGCGCGCCTGCCTTCCGGAAGGCCGCGGGGTCGCGGCTGCAGCGGCCTGTCCGATGTGCGGGTTTCCAGTGTGTGCAAGAGACGCGGTGTCAGGTCTGAATACTTGACACCGTACTTGTACTTGAGAGAGGGGTACAGTCTATTGCCAGAGGAAGGGAAGAACATTCTCGAACGAGCCTCACTCTTTTGCGTCCCTGCCGCCCAATACCCACCTCCGCCCACAGACTGAAACCTTGCCCTGTCCTGAGCTGAAAGGAAAAGGAAAAGCAGAGTAAAAGGAAAAGCAATGAGTTCCACTGGTTTAGGACCGTCGGTGGAAAAGTGACTTGCAAATCGCAAAATACAAATAAGTTTATGTTAAGATTTCTGTTTCTCAATACGTCATAGGGAAGATAGAAGTGCCACATGAGATTGGAAGTAAAACCGAAAAATTACTTTGTAAATATTATTTTAAGATATTTTAGCATTTGGCAAATCCTGAAGATTTCATTCCCTTTTGGAAACATGTATATATACACACGTGTCCCATGTATGTATGTGTCCATATATATGTTTCTGGGTCTGAGTTTTTTACAGTTGTTTATCAAACACCTAAAGTGTTTTTAGGAACTGAAGATAGAGAATTGAACGAATAATGTCGACAAGTGAAATTTTCTACAGACAGTAAAGAAAGGTGATATTCAATGAGTGCGAATACAGTACTTTAAGGAAGACTAAATTAGGGTAAGGAAATCAGTGACTGCACTAGGAGTTGAAGATGATTCCCAAAACTTCATTTTTTTCATTTCAGGAATGCATCTTTTTATTCAAAAATACAAAATAGGGGAGCTGGAATCATAGTACAGTGGGTAGGGCACTTGCCTTGCATGTGGCCAACCTGAGTTCAGCCTTCAGCACTTCTTGTGTTTCCCTGAGCAAGGCCAGAACTGATCTCTGAGTGCAGAGCCAGGAGTGACCTGTGAGCATTGCCCAGTGTGGCTCCAAAACCAAACAGTAATCTGTAGGCATGGACAATGGCAGCAGTAAAACGTTATGTGTTGTTAGCTGAAACCAGTAACTAATAATTACAGTGATTTTCTTAACATCAGCCATCAGTCAGCTTTTTTCTCATTTAGTTCCTTTAGCTGTTTTCTCTGTAGTTACTGATGAGAAACACCTGCCTTGAGGCATGCACTTCATCAATAATAGTATAGCACGAGTATACGAATCAGAACATGCTACCTCCCAGTCCAGGGTCCTTTTCTTCTTTGGGAATTTTCACTGTCACTGTCCTCCCATTGTTCATCGATTTGCTCGAGCAGGCCCAGTAACATTGTGAGACTTGCTATTGTGTTTGGCATATTGAATACGTCACGGGTAGCTTGCCAGGCTCTGCCGTGCGGGCGAGATACTCTCAATAGCTGGCCGGGCTCTCCGAGAGGGGCGGAGGAATCGAACTTGGGTCAACCGTGTATCGGCCGCTGAGTGCAAGGCAAACGCCCTATCCACTGTGCTATCGCTCCAGCCTTTGGGAATTTTATTTTAGTTTTTGTTTTAGGTTTTTGGGTCACACCCAGCAGTGTTCAGGGTTTACTCCTGACTCTGCTCTCAGGAACCACTCCTGGCAATCTTGGGGGGATCATATGGGGTGGTGGAGATTGAACCTGAGTCAGCTGTGTGCAAGGCAAATACCCTACCTGCTGTACTATCACTCCAGCCCCTTCCAGGCTTTTTTTACTGCATCAGAAATGACAGTGCCAGGTCGAAGAAACAGCGCAATGGTTATGCAGTGTGGGGCTGTGGCACTGAGTCCCAGAGCAGAGCTCCTCCAGGCGTGGTCCCTGAGCACAGACCCAGAACGATCCTTGAGCATCACCGGGGTCAAGAGAAGAAATAATGGTGCCAATTTCTTTGTCTTGGTTTGCAGAAATTCTAGCAACCTGAATAGTTTCTTCAGGAGTTGTCACAGGTTTATGCTGCATGTTAAGTTTAGCAATGATAGCACCATCTGCTAACATCACTCCTCTCTGATTTCCACTGGATCAGCAGCTTTGATGACTTTTGTTTGTTGTTTATTTGTTTTGGGGCCATACCTGAGAGCTAGTGATTGTTGTTGAAGCTAGGGTTGGCTATGCATAAGGCAGTACTGGTGTACTGTCTCTCTGACTGCCCCCACCCACCACCAATATTTGTATATTTCTCTTTTAAATCAGTGAACTGAGTAGCAGTCACATCATCTTTGGTTACTTTGACCCAACTCTGTTCAGTAATCACTGTTATTTCCATATTAATAGTTTTTAAGAATTTTCCTACCTGTTTTACAAATCATAGTCCCTCCCCAGCCCCATCTTTATTTTATGTCTTGTTTCTCTTGGCATCAAACTTTCACTTGTGTGGTTGAAGCAATAGCACAGCGGGTAGGGCATTTGCCTTGTACACGGCCGACCCGGGTTTGATTCCCAGCATCCCATATGGTCCTCTGAGCATCGCCAGTGCTCAATTCCTGAGTGCATGAGCCAGGAGTAATCCCTGTGCATTGGCGCGTGTGACCCAAAAAGCAAACAAAAAAACTTTCACTTGCCGTGACCAGAGGTCCTTGTGTGGTTAGTAACTATATTCTTTTTATTTGAGTCGAGACACACCACTTTTTTTTTTAACCTTTTTTTGGGTCATACCCAGCAATGCTCAGGAGTTACTCCTGCCTTTGCACTCAGGAATCACTTCTGGTTGTGCTCGGGGGACCATATGGGATGCTGGGAATCGAACCTGAGTTGACTGCATGCAAGGCAGAATGCCCTACCCTCTGTACTATTGCTCCAGCCCCCGCACTAGCTTTTTGAGTTATCTTCCTGACCCTTTTAGCATTTTAAACAATCTTTTCCTTTTTGGGATGAATATATGTTTGGCATGCAGGCATGTGAGAGGACTGGATTTAGTCCTTGGCACTGCATGGTCTCCCAGGCACCATGAGGAGTAATCCCTGAGTGCAAAACCTGGAGTAGCCCCTGAGTACAACTGGGTATGGGTCGACCTTACAAAAGTCACTCTCGGTGAAAATAGGTAAAGAGATATAAAGGATAACTTTTTATTATCTATACTGTAAACCATAAGGCCCAAAAGAAGAGAGAGAGAGAGAGACAGAGACAGAGACAGAGAGAGAGAGACAGAGACAGACAGACAGACAGACAGAGACAGAGAGAGAAGAAAAGTGCCTGTCATAGTGGCGGGGGGAGGGGTTTGTGGCAGGTGGGAGGAAAACAGGGACCACTGGTGGAGGGAAAAATACACTGGTGAAGGATTGGTGTTGGAACATTATATGAGTGAAATCCAATCATGAACAATTTTATAAATATGTTTATCACTATGATTCAATTAAAAAAAAATTTTTTTTTGCTTTTTGGGTCACACCCAGCAATGCAAAGGGGTTACTCCTGACTCATGCACTCAGGAATTACTCCTGGCGGTGCTGAAAGGACCATATGGGATGCTGGGAATCGAACCCAGGTCGGCCTCATGCAAGGCAAACACCCTACCCTCTGTGCTATCGCTCCAGCCCCTAAAAAAAATTTTTTTAAGTCACTTTCAGGCAGGGTACATGGCCCAGCTGTAGATAGCATGCCTGATAAATGTGATGCCTGTGTGTTCAGTCCCTGGCACTGCAAAATAATAATGATAAATCCATAAAATAAATGTCACTCTCATGTAATAAATATGCATACATTTAGTTTAAGACATTCTTATTTTTGTTTGCTTTTTATGTCGGGAGAGAAATCAAAAGTGGTGCCAGTGGGTGGCAAAGCCTGAGCACCGTCCTTTGAGCCATCTTTCTACTCTGGGACCTTCTGTTTTATTCAGAGATCTGTTTCAGGGGCCCAGTAGGCAGGTGAAAGGGCCAGACTGATCCCTGTCATGCGCAAGACCCTATGGTCAGTTCCCACACAACATGGCCTCACGAAGCACCAAGGGAATTCTCCCAGCCCCCATGACAAAAAATATAGCAATAGAAAAAATCCCAGAGATGTATTTGTGCCAGTATTTTTGTAATAGTTTTAATTACTAATGTCTCAAAAGATTCTTTTGATATCTGGTAAAACAAGTTTCTCCTCATTAATCTTCCACTTCCTCAATTTTGTTACTAGTTCCTAGGCATTTATTCTCCTAGATAAGCTTTATTCTCAAATATTTAAGTTTCCCACAAATAATAGTAAGATTTTTTTCTCAGCTAATTTTAAAGAAACTGCATTAGCAAATGTGATAAAGCAAGAGAAAGAATGAGATACAACAAATCTAAAGGAGGAAGCCAATATCATTTAAAAATATTTTATTGGGCTGGTGAGATAGAGCAACAGGGAAGGTGCTTGCCTTGCATATGGCTGATCAGGCTTAATCTCCAGCATCCCAAATGGGCCCCTGAACCCTCTTGGATTGATCCCTGAGTGCAGAGTCAGAATCAGCCCCAAGCAGGAGAGGTGACTATAAAAGGATTGGGTTGTTTTGGTCTGGCTGGCTCATTGGTTACTTCCTGCCTGGCCTGAGGCCTGTTTATGAGCACCTGTGGTTGGAGTGCTGCGCCTGAGAACACAGCCCCGCGTCCCTGGCACAAAGTGCAGTCAGCAGATCTCATACTTAGCTAAATCCCACACTTGGCTTCATGCTTTGCTGTCCCCATCTTGAAATAATGTATGAACAAGAATTCTCCCATTTGAATTCTGTACTGGGCCCTACAGATTATAGGTAGGCCCAGTATAGAATATTCAAATTTTCCCATCTTATTTCTGTACTGGACCCTACAATTTATGCAGCTAGCCAGCCCTGCACCAAATATGAAGGACGTTCTCACAGGACACTGTTACTGAGTGCAATGAGAAAAACTCCAGGGGACCCAGAAGTGGGGAGGGACTAATCCTCCCACTTTTCCTGGAATTCAGAGCCAGACTCTTCTCTGAAGAT